CTCTGGATCACCCTCCCTGGGAATTAGAGGTTCAGACCCATTTCCCAATGACTTCATCTTCTCAGAGTGGTCTTCCCTGATTGCTCTACTGAAGTAGTTCATCCCAATCTCTTGTTCTCCATAGCAATGATCACCACCTAATAAATCTATAGTTCATTTGAATGCTGTCTGTATCGCAACCAAAAAGAGTAAATTTCATGAATAAGGGATCTTTATTTTCTCACTATGTCTTCAGTACCTAAAATCATGTTGACTTATTAAATTATGATAAAAGCTTATTAAAATATTTAATAAGTAAGCCATGTTTGATTGTGCATCCTGTCAGACTGGGATACTCGAGGTGAGGTAGGAAGAGAAGGTTGTGGGGAGTTGTGGAAAGCACAAGGCATAGACATGGGATGTGCTCAAGGCTGAGATGCTTGTAGGAGGCTCCCTGTGTCCTGCAGAGGGAGTCCAATGACTGTAATACATAATGGATGTGCACCACTGTGTGACTGTGTGCTAAAGAAAGAGTGGCAGTAGCCCATCAAAGTCCTACAATTGTGGGAGTGGCAATTAGTTAAGAGGGTGACTCTAAGTACTTATCAAGACAGCTTGCTGTGTGAGTTCTTTCTACTCTGATCCATCATACAACTCTTTGTCACTTTCAAACTTAAACAATGTGGATTTGAGAAATAGAGGACTAAATATCAGTCTTTATGACTAGCATCTGATTCTATGCAATGTTTCTCTTTCTGTATTGTTGTTATAAGATTGTGTTCTTCTACACATAATCACAGGTATTGGTCTGTATTCCCAAGTCTTGGGCTACACATGAACGTTCCTGTGTGGTTTGGAGGGGATACGGAGGATCAAACTCAGGACCTTGCACTTGAGAGACAGGCAGCAGCACCACTGAGCTAAATCCCCAGGATTGTGTTCTTCTACACATAATCACAGGTATTGGTCTGTATTCCCAAGGCTACACATGAACGTTCCTGTGTGGATTGGGGGGGATATGGAGGATCAAACTCAGGACCTTGCACTTGAGAGACAGGCAGCAGCACCACTGAGCTAAATCCCCTACCTGTTCCTGGACTTTTAAGCATATGTGCAACATTAATTATTTTTATTTTTACATTAATATGCACATGTGGTGCATGTGTGTGTGTGTGTTCATGTATGCATGGTAGGTAAGACAAACCCATTTAGTTACTTTTCTGCAAAAGAAAGCCAAACCCCAGTGAAGGGCAAGAAGGTGTAGCCATTTTACTGACAAATGTTCCAGCCATGACCAATTGTCTAGTACTCAATGGAGAGAGCATTGGTTGGTTTCTCTATTACAGGACTTCTCCTAGGTGGAAGCATCAGGACAGATAGAAAAAGCAGCTGAGGTGGTCACCTATGTCTGTAGGCAGATAGACAGGGGGTTAGGATCCCAGGGATTTCTGCAGCTTGCAAATAGCAGCATTAGTGTCCCCTTCGGTAGCAATGAGAGCCTGGAGATTAGCATGGTAATTTTTAAACCCCATAGCCTGAAGAAATTTCATCTGTTTCCTGAAACGAATCTTCGGGGCTTGCAGGGATTGGGAAGTGTCTCCAGCTCGGAACCGCGGACTGTGCAGGACTGCTCCAGATTTGTGGCAGCACTCAGGCCTCTTGGGCTCAGCCGTAACTGGCCCATTCCAGGTCTTGAGCACTGTATCAGGGTAGCTGCAGCTGGGGCCAGGAAGCCAACATAAGTCTGACAGGTAAGGTGCAAAACAGGGCAGAAGAATGGGAGCCTCTGTGGCCAACAGTTGAAGACCCTGCTCAATCTGCAATATTGCTTGTGATGCTTTAGGATTGGCAAGGGCTAAAAGCAGATTGGAAAGCCTTGACTGCTGCAGGAATGTGGGCGGTGGCTGCCACCGCTGTTCACTCAGCTGTGTCATACTCCTGAACAACATTATCTGAGCCGCCAAGTGAGGGTGGTTCATAAGCATCTGTGCCATGCCTCCTGTGATCTGGAGGCTGGCCTGCTCATCTGACAGCTGGAGATCTTCCTCTGACCTCTGGTCTGAACTACACACAGAGGTACTGCCATCACCGTATTCTTCCTGGAGCTGCTGAATGACTTCTATACCAGGTAAAGCCAGCATCCCATCTGGCTGCAGAATGGCACAGACGTGACTTTGGCCCTTGGTGGAGATCATGGCAGTGTTGGTTCTGGAAGGGTAGTTGAGCCTATTGGAGGTAGCATTGGTTGGGGTGACTGTGGATAAACCAGAAGAACCAGTACAGATTACTTGGGTTGTAGGGAGATGTGCTTGCTGGTCTCGCTGTTCCTGGGATGATGGTGGAGATAGGGGTGAGGGTTGGACTTGTCCTGCTACTTGTGCTGCCAGAAGGGCAGTAAAAGGGTTGCCTCCAAAGGGATCTTGCATGCTGTTGAACATTTGATCACTGAAATCAGCATAGCTCTGACCCATGACATTGTTCCCACCTGGAATTGTCTCTAAGCCCAGGTAAGGCTGTGGTTTCGGCAAATGTTCCAAGGACTGTGCAGGTTGCTGGGTCTGCATTATCTCTTGAATTATGGCAAGGTTTCTGACCAGCTCCAGAGTCTGCCACAGGGTTTCAGAATTGTCAAGGAGGTGGGCAACTTCTGGGTTCTGCTGTATTAGTTGTTGCTTATCTAGACTCTCTGAGATGAATTGTTGCGTGAACTCCACATTGGACAGGAACTGCTGGACATGAAGACTCTCCAGCATCTGTGCTGTACACTGTGGACTGTTCACTTCCAGATTCTGGTTTTGCACCTTGGGCACATGAGACTCACCAAACTGACCTGATTTCACTGGGGCTTGTCTCATACCAATAGGTTGGCACACCCCACTGCTGTTTCCATTGATGTGTCTGTCCTGGTGGGAGCAATCATCGGCTGGCAGGTTCTGGGAGGAATGGGCCAGGGATCTGGAGCCATTCTTGGACTTGATGACCAGATAGATGGTGTGGCCATCTGTAATGCCCCTCTGACTCAGTGTGTCCTGGTCTTTGAGAAGGCGGCCCATGAAGACCAGCACTAGTTGATCCGTTTGGCATTTGAAGTGAGCCGAAAGCTTCTCCTTGAACTCCCTCACTGAGATGTCATCAGCTACTGTAAAGTCTTCCTGGTTGGCTGGTGTTTTCACTATCACTTGGGTGAAACTTGAAGAGATATTCCTGTCTGCAGGAAGACTTGAAGGACACCTGCTCTTGGGCATCCTGGGTGCTCGAGAGGTGACATGAGGCATGGACTGCAGTGGGTGGACAGATGGAAAGCAAGTACCGGCAGAGGCAGCTGGGTGAGGGCAGACAAATATTTCTGCTGGGCTTCTTTCCGGGTATTGTGTTCTTCAGCCCAAAAAGAGATGAGTGACTGAGCTGGGGCCAGTATTTTGCGATGTTGCGCCCTCACCCCAGTCCTCCAGATGTGGCCAAACTGAGGCCTGGTGTGGCTGCTGATTCATATTTGCAACACAGTCTACTAAATGGTAACAATGCCCCTTACAGTTGCCCCTCCTCCTGCCCCGCCTGTTCAGAAAGGAGATATTGTGATGTCAATTTAAATCTCACCATATGCCAGGAATAGCTGGGGAAGGAAGACAAATTTGGGGAGGCCAAGTCTCTATCGTAAAATAAGAAAATTTTCCAGAAAATTGGAGACCAAATCCCTTAGGAAAAAAAAAAAAGATAAAAATCAGATTTTAAAAATGTAGGTTGAGTATTTCTGTGTGGTGCTATGTGTAGGCCCCTTAAATGGATGTTGAATATGTTGACAAAATGTTCAATCTCTAAATCCATTGATAAAACCACATTCCTGAGATTATGGATAAAGCCTAAGCCATTAGTGGCGAACCTATGGCATGCATGCCTCGGTGGGCTGTTTGTATCATTGAATGGTCTAAAAGGTTTGCCATCACTGTCCTAAGCCTTGGGAAAGACCTCATTAATTTTGGTAGTGATATGGGGAAAGTGGGCCTTAGAAAGGAAAAATGAGCAAGAACGAGGAAGAGGAGGTCATGTTTTTTCTCTAGGGTCTTGATTTTTGGACTACACTTCTTTGAGAGTACTCCCATGTGATAAGGAAAATATTTCCTCTTCCCTAGGAAGTAAGCTAACCAAGAAGGCTCCCTACAGTGGCCATTCCAACTCCCAACTAAAGGTAAGTGGGCTACTTTTGCAGTATACTTTTTATTCACACAGATGACAAATAACTTGGGTTTTTTCTACATGCCATCCTAACAGACTTTTTAGAATGATTTATTTAAGTGGACACCTTTGTGTCAAAAACTTAAGGGAGAGAGGCATCTGTTAATCAAGAGGTGGGAATGGAAGTGGTTAATTGTGTATTTCCTTCAGGGACAGCTTCCAGCAACTGAAATCCAGATACTAAGTATCACACAAATTTGAAGATGGTGTTCAATTTTTTCTATTTGGGGAGCTGATTAATTATCAATGCATATGTTAAAATACCTATGTTGATACTGGGGTGCAGACACAATTATTGTTTGTTTGTTTGTTTGTTTGTTTTTGGTACTGGGGATAGAGCTAGGGTCACTGGGCTTGTGAGGCAAGTGGAGGAACCACTGAGCTAAATCCCCAGCCCCACAGCTATTGTATATACAGGAGTGAGAACACATATGCCTTCTTGGATGTATCTATGAAAGTGTATGCATACTTTGTGTGACTGGGAAGTCTTCGGAGTCTGTACCTTCCATACATCTGTCTGGCCAGGGAGGAGCACTATACAATCAATTAAGGGACATGAAAAGAGTCTGAGTCCAGATGTTCTCATTGTGCTAAAGACTGGCAAAGAAACTGCAGGCAGGCAGTCAGGAGACTTCCCGCAGTCACACTGAGGATTCTTTATTGAGAATGTGCAACCACCAGCCCAATCCATGTCAAATATTCTTCAGATTCTTGTGCTCACCAATTCAGTTACAGGTTACAAATTGCTCAATTCCTAGAGGACTCTGGGTTAAGCACCTTTTTTCAACTATTCCCAAAAGTGAGACTGATCAAAGACAGTGAAAAAATTGACCTTCTGAGCAAGACCCTGCCTCTTTTCTTTCTAGGGTCCCCACAAGCATGTAGGGTTAAGAAAGGAAATTAGCACATCCCTCTCCTGTGGCCAGCTTCCGTAGATGGCCTACACCAATCCAATCCTCGAAACTTGACTCTGGACTTAGGACACATAACCTTAGAATTCCAAGAGCCAAGTTCATAGTTTTAAAATGCAGAGTAGGAGAGGCCAAACCTCAGAAAGAAAGTATTATATTTCTAGTGCCGGGGATGTAGCTCAGTGGTGCCGCTGCCTGCCTTGCAAGCGCAATGTCCGGAGTTCGATCCCCAGTACAAAAAAAAAAAATTATTATATTTCTATAGCTAATGTTTTATGTTTATGTATACTGGAAATTGAAAAGATAATTTTTCTCCCTAGGGATTGAACGCAGGACCTTATGCATACTAAACTCTTCTACATCCTTCCTCTGTAGCTAATAGTTTCTTTGGTTTCTCAAATTCTCACAGACCATTTTGAAAGGAAACTTTACTATGTTGATTGAGATATTAATTACATAAAGAACTAACTAGGTATAATCAGTGTTTCTCAGTCATTAGGGTTGATGCCATTTTGGGGAGTGGTCCCCCTACAGGTGAGGAAGAGGGCACATGAGCTCTGAGGTCTCAGGGCCTGGAATGCTCATTAGGTTTAACAGGTTTTGGGGGAGAAAGAACCCCAGAACGTCTTGGGGCTGGGAGTCTTGGCGGCTTGTGCTCCAGTGTTGAGAAGGTGAGGTCATGATTCACTAGGAAACCGTCATTATAGGCATAGAGTTTGTGGTCGGAGGAGCAGTAATTGATGCCATGCAGTGTTTCCAACATCTTGTCCAACAGGATGCTGAGGTGGGTCTCCTTCCCAGTGCTAGTGTCAAAAGCATAGAAGATCTCCTCTTGGCGAGTGCTCAGTGAGCGCAAGGCATAGAGCACCCCACAGGCCATGAAGGGCCCTGACAGGCCTGGTTTATACTGGCTGGTATGCCAGGTTTCCTCTACTTCTAGAGTACTGGCGTTGAGAAGACTTACAACCAGGTTGCCCTTGCTCTGCTCCGTGGCATAGAGCACCCACAGCCCCTTCTCATCACCTGCAAAATCTAAGTCTTTCCAGGACACACCAGCATAGGAGAAGCGGTTACCGTGGGTGGCACCAGGCAACGGGCGCCGCAGTACCAGGGTGTTGGAAGAAAGGTCTACCTTGGCCATATCACTGGTGCCATAGTAGTTAAAGTACATGAAATTCTTATACACAGTATTACCACTCCCATCACCATAACCCATCTTCCACTCCTCATAGTTCTTCAGCAGCATGAGGTCATCGAAAGACTTTTGCAGCCAATAGTAGTCAAAGTTCCTAGGCCAAGCAATAAGAAGCATCAGAAGCAATAAGTGATGGCAATAATTAGGGTAACAAAGTGTGGTAAAAAAGGACAGCCCAGGGTACCAATTAAGAGCAATGGCATTCAGGCCAAACAACTGATTTTTAATTCCTCTTTTATTTACTACATACTATGACAAACAAATAATTGTTTTAAAAATAACAACGGTAGTAATAAAACAAATCTACAATATCTGTTAAGCACTCTATATACATTGTATTATTTAACCATGATAAAAAAAAAAAAAGAAAAACACTACAAAAACCAGGCATGGTGGCACACACCTGTAATCCCAGCACTCAGGAGGCCGAGCCAGAGGATTGCCTCAAGTCCAAGGCCAGCCTGAAATACAGAGCTGGATCTTGTCTCAAAACAAACAAACAACAAAACACTGTTAAGTTTTATCTTTACAGATTAATCAGAAAGATTCAGTAATTTGCTTAAGGTCACAAAGCTGATAAGAAAAATCTGTACGAGGAAAAATAAAAGAATTCATTTCATTGACTGTTGTTAAGGTTATATGAAAAAGTACAGCATATCCAAGTAAGCAATCAATAAATAGCAGCGATTATATTTTCTTATTTATGGACACTCTTCTGTGCCTAGAATCTACTGCCTCCACCTGCCTTTGAGATATCACTGTCGGATAGAAGACATGGGGCTGGAGCTGGATCCAAGGAGCGGATGCTTATTTGACTATTCTGGAAAGTATCTCAAATTATCCTGGGTTATGAGAATTCTCATTTCTCAACATTGAGAATAAGTGCTAACTCACCCACCAGAACTTTGAGAAGATTCACAGAACAAAGACATATTGATAACTTTCATTGAAAACTTTCAACTTTGTATACAAATTAAGAGAATTGTTATCACTAGCGCCCATCTTTCTCAGAGAGCTTCAGCAGGGGCTATTCAGTGACTGGTTGAACACACATTATCCCTCTCTCTCAGGGCCTCCCACTCAGTTAAGCCTCACTACACTTCTACATGTGCTCACTTGGAACATTTCATGAGTTATGTCCAACTCCCTAGCCGGGCTGACATGTTGAATGACTCAGTCCATCTTTTTTGTTGTTGTTGTTCCTGGGGATCCAATTCGGGTCCTTGTGCTTGCGAGGCAGGTGGTGGCACCACTGAGCTAAATCCCCAGCCCAGTCACACCTATTCTTTAGACTTTCTTTTATCTAACAGAAATTTCTTCTCGGCTCCTATTATGTTACCCATACTTTTCCATATCATTTCAGGTACTCTTCTCATAAATTTAGTTATCCTCATTTTAGAGATGATTAAGAGTGGGCCTTTATTTCCAAGGTCACTTGAAAGTATGTGGCAGTACTGAGAATTAAACTCAGATCAGTTTAACTCCAAGTCTCAAGTTTGCTTGATGCCATTCTCTAAACTTCTCCTAAGTAGAAAGCTAGGTTTGTAAGGCAAAAGTATAGAAGAGTTTCTCCCTGAGTTAAGATCAGATTAGAGATAAAACCACCTTTAAATCATGATAACATTTTAAAAATTCAGTCCCTGTATTTTTAAAGGGAGTTAAGGCAGGTTGGGCCACACCTGTCCCATGAGAAGAGTGTTTGGAGGTGAACTGTTAAAGTCTAGGATAGATTTACACAGAAGCATACCTAAAAGAGAAAGAAAGCTGGGCAAGCGGTACGAAAGATAAACAAATAAACCTTCTAGGGTCTGCGCAGGAGACATCTGGAATGAACTCGGTTGTGGAAAACACGTCACCCAGGGCTCACCTGCCATCTGGACGGAGCGGGGCCACCCAGTAAAGGGAAGAGGTTGAACTGGGTGCTGAGTCTCGGCCCCAGGCGCCCGCCTTGTAGAATAAGCCCCTCCAATTGAGCTGCAGCACAAGAGGGCTGCTGACCTTCTGGAGGCCTCCATGAGCACAAGAGCCTGGAGGGGGAGTGAGCAAAGTGTGAGCAACACGCAGAACACACAAGCTACAGTGAGCTGCGTGAAGTATATAACGATGTGTACACTGGAGAGCGTGCCGGTGCAACTCAGTGAACACACTTATGTACCTAGACTGGCTGATGAATAGAGATGAATGAATGTGTGCTCTGAATAGGAGGTGTCCACATGGGAGGGTATAGCACGTGCCAGTGTGAGACTATACCAGTTTTGGTCTGCGTTCCTCACGGGCATATAAAACAGTCTATCCAGGTCTTACTGCCCCCGCCCTCAGCTCACGTCTCCGGGGAAATGAGCTCCTGGGAAATAGAGTCTGCTAACTCACCAGGGGGTCGGTGTGCCCCAGAGTATCTGGAGGCCGGGTCGTGCTCCCTCTCCCGCTCCCACGCCCTTAGTCGGCCCTTGAGGACATCTACTTCCCACTGGAGAGCACCGGAGCTGCGCCACTCAGTGTCACCCAGAAGCCTGAGGGTTAGGCTGGCATAGGTCACCTAAGGAAACAAGCCGCTGAGAACCTAGACTGAAGAATGTTCTCCAGAACTGAACTTAGCCTCTCATATTTCTCAGTCCAGGGGCTTCCTCCAGAGAAAGGAGTGATTTTGGAAACTGTCACATATGTGAGGCTAGACGAGAAGGAAGGCCGTGAAAGGAACGGAGGGTTCTTCGGTCTGTCCACATACCTGCTCCTGGAGTTGGTGGAGGAGGTCTGTGGACCCATTGACTCCACCCTCGGCCATAAGCTGAGTTGCCAACTCCTGCATTCTCTCAAACTCCAGGCTCAGCAGATTAAAGGCTGAGGTTTCAAAGGAGGGAACAAAGGCCCTGGGATTCCTGGACTCGCTCATGCTGCCCATTTCCAGGGCCTGGTTGCTGTTATCGTCAATGGCCTGCACATACTCACTGGCCTGGGCACAGGGGATGCAAATGTCAACTTGTATGGGTTTTCCTATCCATTCACATCCAGGGGCATACAGCTTGCAAAATATTCTCATATTTTCTCATTTGCTCCTATAAAGCTCTTGAAGTGGATTTTAATAGTATCCCCATTTCACAGCTTGGGACCTCATATCCTTCTTTATGCTGCAGGAAAAAACTTTTACACTCACACCTACATTTTTTTTTTTTTCTTGACTGTAGTTCCCCCTCGGGACTGGCTTAGTGAGTCAGAGAATGAATAGACAGACTCCCAACTTGCAGTCTGGCCACATCACTTCTAGCTTTTCCAGGAGCTCTCTAGGGAGAGATACATTAAGCAATTGAGCATATCCAGAGGACCCCATAGCTAACGATTAAGCCATTAATGTAGGAAGCACTCCTGCATAAGCCTTTCCATACTATTACTACCATTAGAGATCCCAAAAGTTGTTCCTAATTTCCCCTTCATTCTAAGGATTCATCTCTAAGATAAGGGTTCCACTATCTACTTTTTTAAGCTTCTGCTCTACTGGCAGGACTGTCCCTTGTTGAATATCACAGAGGCTACATACAGATAACTCCAAGACCCGGCCCAGCCCACAGCTCCAGCACTCACCCTGGATCGCTCCTGCTCATATTTGCCGAAGAGCTCTTGCACTGTACTTTGTAGTTTCTCTAGCTGTTGCAGAAGGATGGAGTTGTTGGGCAGGTGGACTACACATTGGCAGATGCCACTCTCATTCACCAGGTTTGACACAGTTCTCACCAGTTGTATAAGAATAGCCATACGCACACTAATCTTAATAATGCATGTTGGACACAATGCACTGCTTGTAAACATGAGGGGGAGAAGAGGCTGAGCCTGCTCTGGAGTGCATAAGAAGAGAGCACTGCACAGAACCCTCCACCAGGGAGTTCTTTTGATTATCTAGACGCCCCTCCACCAGGGGTTTCGGTCTTCCTTCTTTTAATTTCCTATAACTGAAGTTGTATCTCTGTCTAACGCCTATTGTTTGGGCCATGCTCACCCTATGTCATGGACTAGCCAGGTGTATAGCTGGAAACCAGCTTTTCCTTAAGATTCCATGGAAGAGAGCAAAGCTGGCCTGCAAAGAAGTGTGAGGGGATAGGTAGAAGGAGATTCAGTTTTGCACAGTATCCCTGACCTGGGGGTTTGTAGATTCCCACAGCTTTACCTTGTCTTGAAGATGCCAGAGAACTCCTAATCATCAGAGAAGGGAATTAGCACTAACAGACCCCAGAGTCGTCAAAGTCTGGACCAATGCAGTATGTAACATTCACAAAACCATTACAGTGTGAATTTTAATTCATATGTTGTATGTCAAAATAATCTGAGACCTTAAAAATATCCAATGAAGTCACACGTTCAAAAAGCAACAGGCTGCAAGCTGACCCTATGTTACACAATTGTTTCAATCCTGTGCTCTTACACCTTAGAGAATAGCAGAGCTGCAAGTAATGTTAAGACAGGTATATATCCCAGGACAAAGAGTGAAGTACAATCAGCAAATGCTCCCTTGATTCGGCTCCTTAGAGCAATGAGAAAGGTTCTAGGGCTAAGAGATGCATGATGTGGGGTCTTCTTCACCTTGCCTACCATATGATTTTCATAGTCACATAGATCCCAACCCACTTATTCCACAACCCAATTTCCTGAGTTCTAATTTTGCCTGCTGACACTGGGATAAATTATTTAATCTTTCTAGTGTCCTAGTATCTTTGGGTGTATAATAGTGGAAATTGTGGCATTTGTATTATTGCTTTACACACAGAGAGAGAGTGGGAGAGAGAGAGAGAGAGAGCATTTAGAGGTTATGGAGCAGAAATAGTGCTATAATGGCTGTAGGTATCCAGCAGAGTCATTTACGCTAATTGTCCTAGTTCTCTCAGACTATCTTGCCATTCCCACTGGAAAGCCTGATGCATGTACACTAAATGGAAAACACCTTCTGAATTTTTCAAGTAAGCTGGTGACACACACTGGGGTTTCCTTATGGAGCATTTAGGAATTAAATGTGTCACCTCTGCACTTCTCTCACAAGTCTCACGTAGAGCTTTTCTGCCTCTGTTACACACAGTTTACCCTGACTATGCCATTACTGTGAAAGTACAGCAAAATTAGCTCTGGGGGGTAAGGCCAAGACAGACAGGCTCTGTGATGGCCTGAGCACCCTCAGCTCTAGGAAGAAGTTGGAAGACTTCTTGTAGAAAATGAGGCCCCCTAACTAAGCAGGGTGTCTAGTCCAGGGTTCTTTTCTCTATCATTTTCTCTTTTTCACCTTATCCCCCTATAAGCAAAGCGAAAATCAAAGTGAAGGTGTCCCGGCTGCCTTCTTTTCCTTCCCAGTTCTCTCTACCTTCACCATCTCCCAGGACCTAGCAGTTCTTGACCAGGATCAAAGTGGAGAAGGAAGCCAGCCCAAAGCTCAGGTCCATCTTCCCAACCTTTTGGGGGCTCCTCCACCCTCTGCTTATACCTGAAGCTCTCCAGGGAGCACCAGAGGCAGAAGCAGAAGAGTGGCCAGAAGAGCTGAGACAGGCTGCATCTTGCCCAGGCTGAAGAAGTGGAGTAAGACCTTGGGATTCCCCTGGGCTTTTATCTCCAGTGCAAATGAATGGCCTCAGTCCACAGGGGCACAGATTTCAACATCTGAAAGGGCTGAGAAACTGAGAAGATGTGGGGAGGGTCTGAAGGGTGGGGAAGAGGTTTATGACAGACTGGTGTCCCCATACACGGATGGCAGTGAGTTGCCCTCTACAGACTGGCTCATCCTTGTCCATCCCCAGGCTGAGTTCTGCCCTGCCCTGCCAGGCCCACTTGTCCAAACAGATTAAGGCAAATTTGAGACATCTTGTGGGGGCCTTGGAATAGGTCTCTTTCAGCAGGGATTACGGTCTTTCTCTCAACTCTGAGGAAGCGAAGACTCTAGAAGGAAATGCAACCCTACCTGTTCAATCTCAAAGACAGAAGCCATTTACTTAACTATGTGTCCTTGGATGAAGGCCAAAAGGTCCTCCTAGAGGACTGTTTCAGCAACATTCCACCAGACTGCTCTGTTACATACCTGCCCTTGCCCCCAGTAATCTGCCTCCTCCACTATCTTAGGTTCTTGCCAGGTGTGATGGCACACACCGGTGATCCCAGCACTCGGGAGGCTGAAGCAGGAGGATCACTGTGAGTTCAAGACCAGCCTGGGCTACATAGTGAGTTCCAGGTCAGTCTCAACTACATAGTGAGACCTTGTCTCAAAAAAACCAAAAAAAAAAAAAAACTATCTTAGGTTCTCTAAACTTGTCCATCCCACTCCACTACCTAATGCTCTCCTTACTTTTTCTAGTCTCGCTGTGTGGTCACTGCTGGTCTTCCAAGAAAGCCCCCACCCAATATTTTTCATCCGCCATAAGAAGCTGTCAAGCTTCGATTCTTCTGACTTCTCAAGTGGATACTCCTATAGAGAAGGAATATATTTTTCCCTGAGTTCTAAACAAGGCATCACAGCTTGGTGTCAGTAGTGCCAGGCATTAAATTGCTCTCTTCCTCCACCATCTCACTCGAGTACGTCTCAGGCAGTGAGGAGTCTTATATCCACCCAAGAGCCTAAGAGATACCAGGTTTCCTATGACTCTGTTTATGATTTCCTAATGACAATGCTATGATTCCACTTCTCTATACCTCTCCTATCTGCATTTGTTGCTGTTTCCGTGCTTCCCATAGCACCTCTGACTTCAGATAGTACGGCTACGTAACATTAAGGTCATCCGTTACTCATCTCATCCTTTACGTTTCTTTTCTTGGTGTATTCTTAGCAGAGTAAGGCATATGAAGCCTCTAGAAGAGTCTGGTGCAGGGATGTGTTAGGAAATCCTTGATGTAATAGTTTTATCTCACCCTCTGACTTCCTTCCTGCCCAACGCCAGAGATTCACTCTCCATCAACTCTTGTAGCTGCCCTTCCTGTAACCATGAGTTCCAGAGAAAATAGAGGTTAGGAAAACAATAGAAGTGTGAGTTAAATAAACATAAACTGCATGGAGTAGGAAACAGGTCCAGGAGCTGTGTCTGAGTGGGTATCACTAGATCTGCGGCACCTCAGGCAGTCAGGGAGAGCGAGAGGGATGGACGGGAGAGTAGAGCAGGAAGCGCAGCCGTGGGTGCTTGCAGCATCTTCAGTATTCCAACTACAGGTCTCCAATGACACAAGGTAGAAGAGCAGGAGTAGCCTCAGCATCTGATCAAAGACGGGAACCAGCCTAGGGAAGTGGCCACAGTACTGTCTACCATCTCCCTAGGTACAGAATCCTAGATACCAATCAGCCAGGTCAGAAAAAAGTCACTTCCCAGAGCTGTGTTCTGTTTTTTTCACCTTGTACCTTTTCCTCAGACGCCCACCCCCCGTCTTCCTGCCTTCAGCAAGCATGGAGTTCCTGATTAGTGTCAGGCACTCTACAAAAGCCCCACTCAGAGCTGCCTTTCACTAATCTGGCTCTGTCTGTCTGGTTAGAGTGATGGCAAAAAACAAGATCCTAGCGCCCAGGCTATGTCCAGGGCCAGCCTAATTGGCATGCATGCGATGTAACTGGAGGTCAATGCAGAGTTGTAAAAAAGCAGGAGAGCACAGTGCAGGCAGAGCCGCACAGGAAGAGGCCGGTTAGAGTAGTCTTTCTTTGTGATAGGAGTAACATAGGTCAGAGCAAGCACAGGACCACATAGGAGCAGCAGATGGAGGCACCTTGGTCAGGGCTCTACCCAGACGAGTCCCACAATATTTCTTGCACATCAGAGGGCTCACACTAGAGAAAATACAGAGCATATTCATTCCTGGGGGGAAGCCCTCTCAGAGCCCACCTTCCTCCATGGCCCTGCCCAGAAGAGCTGAAGCAAGCGCCTAAGCCTCTGAGTAATCTGCTGGGTCCGTACTCCATAGACCAGAGGATTGAGGGCTGGGGGAACCACCACGTAGAGGTTAGCCAGGAGGATGTGGGTATGGCCAGGCACTGTGTGGTGGCCAAAACGGTGAGCTAGGAAGGAGAAGAGGGCAGGTGTGTAGAAGAGAACAATGACGCTGGCATGGGCCCCACAGGTACCCAAGGCCTTGTGACGGGCACTGTGAGATGGCAGGTGGCAGACAGCACGGAGTATGAGGACATAGGAGGCACCTATGAGCCCCAGGTCCAGGCATGGGGACAGCAGCGTGGTTGCCAGTCCATACCAGATGTTGGGGCGTATGTCGCCACATGCCAGGCAGTCCACACCCATGTGCTCACAGTAGGTGTGCGGTAGGGCCCTCTGCCCACAGTAAGGCAGTCTCTGGAGCAGAACCACAGTGGGCACCATGACTCAGGCACCACGAGTCACAGCAGCTACAGCCACTAAACCCACCACACGCTGGGTCAGCAAGGCCCCATACCGCAGAGGCTGACAAATGGCCACATAGCGGTCCACAGCCATGGCCAGGAGCACAGAGGACTCAGCAATGAAGGCCACGTGGGCAACAAAGAGCTGGGCTAGGCAGGCTCCAAAGGAAATCTCACTCGACAAGCCCCAGAGCACAGTCAGAGCTTTGGGCACCGTGGATGTGGCCAGAACCAGGTCAGCCACTGCCAGAAGCCCCAGCAGCTGATACATGGGAGTCTGAAGTGCCTCGTCAGTTACCACCAGCCCCAGTAGAAGGGAATTCCCTGTCAAAGCTGCCAAGTACAGCAGGCACATGGGCACAGAAAGCCAGGTATGCAGGGCCTCGAGTCCTGGCACCCCCAGCAGGACAAATGGCCCAGGCCCAGACATCAACACAGTCTGATTGAAAGCAGGAAGTGCAGGATCCAGCTCCATGTCCCCGATCCACCCAGCTCCGTCCCTGCAGGGCATAAAATAGGGCCTGGAGAGGAAAGCACTGGTTCTAGAGAGAGCTTAGTACGGTGGGGGTAAGGATCGAGGTTAAGATGCCATAGCGTTTTCAAATCAGGAACTGTCCTGGAGATCTGTCATATACTGCACATGGATGTCCAGCCACGAGCCTGCTCACTTTCACATAGGATGGATTACAGAACTTGACTTCTAAGAGATTAACAGGCTCCTGATCACTGGTAAATAGAAGAGATGAAATGTGAGTCAGAATGCATCTGACTGAACACCGTGCTCTTCTGGCAATGCTTTCTCCTCTGGATGGAATGTTTCTGCATCAGTCCAGACACAAGGAAAATCCATCTGTGTTATGTAAGCCTCCATCGGTGGTATAGCCTCTGTGTTCCCCTCATCTGAGGAGGGGTGTCAGCCAGAGGGACTACGGAAGGCTTATTTTCCAACTCACTGACTAACATGTACCCTAAGTTCCCATTCCATAATCCATTTGTGACAGCTTTTTCTTAAAGCTCAGACTCACTTTTCTAAGTTTTCATTCTCCCCGTCTGTCCAGTACATTTTCCTACTACCCCTGATATCCATCATTCTAGCTCTGGTCTACCACAGCTTTAGAAATCTGATTCACAGAACGTAATCCCTTCTTGGATCAGTACAGACACCCATCTCTGACCCAAATTTGTAGCTCCTTTTCCTCTGTCCTTGATACTTGGGAAGATACTTTGGGTTCTGTGGAATTCAGTCTAGGAAAATCTAATGCCCACTAGGGTCACAGAGGATCATCAAGTCTGGGTTATATATAGTAGAAAGGACTGGGATCAGATGCCACAGTGATGGTGTCCCTGGTGGCTAGGTTAAAATGGTGGTGGTAGGATAGGAGGACAGATTTTACTTACCTGGATTTAAATGTATAAAGACCATCCTGAAGGTAGGACCTAAGGTAAATGAACCTTCTGTGTTCTATATGAGGACCATAGTTATATCCTAGAATTTCTCCGTAGAGTACCTGGTGTTCTAACGTGGCCCCAGACACTAAGAGTCTGAGGCCAGAAGATTCCCACATAGCCCTCTGTGCAGCAGTGCCTCCTGGGCTCACCTCACTATGCCCTTACTCCTGCAGGGGAGAGGCAGGTGAGGTCTCAGACTAGACTTTCCCACATGGGAGTCTTACTGGTTTAGGAACCAGACCTTCCTTCTAAAGGATGAGTCTTTGCCAAGTCATGGGGCCTAGTCCTAACCCCTTCACCACGGGGACTGTGCTGGCTCCTCTGGACCCTGGGAACATCCAATCAGGGCCTAACTTACCACAAGGCAAGCCCAGCCTATACACGGAAGGAGAATGCCAACTGCCTCTGCAGCTGGGAACGTCGCTCCCAAAACCACAGGGCAAGCACAACCCATACCCAGGCAAGGGCCTCTTAAGAAAGTCTTGTACTCAGTGTACAGGCTCTACTTGCACATTTCCTCTTGGCCAAGTTCCAGGAACAACTACTGTAATTCCTCCATGTCCACACCACACACATACTTTTCCTTACTTTTCCTCCATGGGCTAAATGAAAAGGAGGAGGCAGAGGCTGGAGACCACCTTAGGACACTGCAGTTTCAGCTGTGCCTTGTATCTGGTTCTACACAGGTACAGCTGCACCTTTTGCATCTTCCACCCACCTGCTCTACACTCTTGCCTCCCCAGATCCTTGCCCCTGACCCAGGCCTCACCAACTCAGCTTCCTCTCCAAGCCACAGCTCCACAATGGGCTCTCAGAGGGACAGGAAATTTACATCTGTGCTTCTGCTGTGCTCCTAGGTGCAGGACTGGCGCTGGGCTGTGCTTAGAGTTCTGGAGCTTCCCCATGGTGTCTTTGCTACTGCAGATGTGTCACACTAGCTTGCACGCCGACAATCAGAAAAAGTCATATATAAAAAAAGAATGGAGTCACATAGAGCTGGGGCCAAAAGCAAGATCTCTAGGATTCTGATCCAGGACTGTTTCTCAGATTCTGAGTCTCATTCCTCAATTGGCAGCAGTTTCTTCTCGGCTGAAGAAGTTACACAGATCCTAAAACTCTGTTTACTCTGAGTTTCCATTTCTACTGTAAGGCTTAGCTTTGTCCTGACTCCACTTACACTTGAACTGCTTTTGCCAGTAGAGGTCCTTGGGGGCACTGATGGTACAGGGACCTGCAGGAGCCAGCTTCACCCTGAGGCTTGTTTTCCCACCATCTGTTGCCTCCTCCCTCAAAGAGTTCCAGGGCATAACTCACAACTAGGTCAAGATCTCCCTCATCTTCTTCTTTCCGCTGTTAGAGTGACCTTGGCTCCTCAGCAACACTCTACTCTGAATAGCTTATATACGCAGTTCTGCCTAACAGGCCCGAGGAACATGGTATCCCCTCCAAGTCAAAGTAGAAAAAGCAAAGAACATAGTAAGTGCAGCTGGGTGAACTAGAGGGGGAAAAGAAGTCATAGTGAAGAGTCCAGCAAATGCACAACCTGTGCTCAGTCTCATTTTTCCTGTATGATTTGAATTAAATATGTTGATAATTGGAACTAGAGTTTAATCATAGTACCTAGTCTTCACCCTGACTTCGAAAGAGGTAGGTATAAGATTGAAACCTAGTAAGTGGTAATATTTCCTTGTTCCAGTTTTTTCCCATTTCAGCACAGTGAAAATCTAGAATGGGCTCTGAAGTCAGATGGTCCAACTATTAAATTTAAATACTAGCTTTGCTACAGAAAAGATGTGCAACTTTGGATAACATTCTCAACTTCCCCATGGCTCAGTTTTCTCATCTCTAAGTTGAGGACAAATAGGGCTTGGGATATAGATCAGTCAGAGTATGTGTGCTTAGCATGCACAAGCCCTGGGTTTGATTTCCAGACCTGCAAAGGAAACAAGCAAGTGGACAAACAGTAAAAGCTACTAAATTGAAGATGAACATAAATGCATCTACTTTGCATGGATCACTGCAAAGAGTAAATAAGATAACATACATGAGATAATTATACAGGACTCAAAATTTCCTGTAACATCATAAATGCCCAACATATGTTAAAGGTTATTATTAGAAACTCCTCTACTCCTTGAGCCCATCCTGTCTGAGAGCACTTGCATCGCGTTTTTGGTTCCAAGCTTCAGAAACTGATGAATAAACCTTTACTGTATCTTAATTTTTGCACACATAAGTTGGGGACTGAAGTAAGGTGTTTGGAAGCAGAATAATCCTGAACATATACTTTTTTCAATTTGGTAGAAAAAATGAAAAATTTCAGTGAGATCAAAGAAAGAACTTCAGTCTGTTTAAAAAACGATTGTTCCTGAGTAAAACAGGACGTATGGTGACCCTGCCCGATGCCCCCCGTTTCCTCCTCTTTCTGATCTGAGACGCCAAAAGGGAATAGGGACACCTCACCTTGCTTCTCAGACGTGGCAATGCACTGTCCTTCTCCTTCATGCTGGTATTTGTGCAGGGGAAAAATTAAGCTCAAAAGGGTTAAGGAGAGTGTACAAGGCCCCCTAGAAGTGCAGTTGTTCACTGCAAAACCTCCAGCAGCTCACTTCATTTCAAAGAAGCCTCTTGGGGCATCTCACTGAGTATTGGCACTTTTGAACTTCAGTGTTGGGCTTGATGTGGAATTCATCTCTGTAGACGTTAGGAGAGGAGACCTTTTCAGTAGTCCCCAAACTGTTGTCTAGGGTGTGGTTGATCTTGGCTGAGGAGTTGTTGCAGCTGATGATAAAGGATTTCTTCCCTCTGTGCTGTGGTGGCAGATTAAAGAGAAGGAAAGGACATCCTGTTTATATTCATGCTATCCTGCATCACTCCTTGCTTCTACAGCTTCATTGAGCTGATGGTGCACCTAGGACCTAGGAAACTCCAAATCTATTCTGGTGGCAAACCTGAGAAAAGCAGGTGTGGACAGATTTATGGACTTCCTCTGTGAGCTCAAAGGGAGCGGAAACACTTAGCCCTCGGAAAGACAGAGGACCCGCTTGCCTCAGCTGTGAACAGTTAATGAGGAGTTAGCAGAGATCCCAAGTTATCTCTATGGACTTTCCTAGGTCCCAGGTTTACATGCCTGGCTGCTCAGGACCTGGGGAAATGTAGAGGCTGATTAGAAAGGCCTCTATGGAATGACTGCATAGGACAACAGCAACGCAGACAGAGACTGGCCTTGTTGCATATGAGTGACCGACTCCGTCGCCAGCTGGAAATTGATAGCTATCATTCCTCGGTATCAATTTCACCCCTTAGCCCTATAAATGAGCAAAGCACCTTGGTGTAAATTACAGCCTTGGTTCTTAAATAAAGCTTCACAACTCTTCAGTCTGTGTATTCTCTTCAAATTTGCTAGTTTTTTTTTGTTTTGTTTTTCTGTTCTATACAATGAGGATTAGTATATCTTCCCCAAAAGCACCTGGAAGAATGCCTTGAGGTCAGAAAGATTAATGCAATATTACACAAGGTTGTGTGACTTGGAAAGAGAGTAAAGATACTCTGCCAATCTGGGATGAATACTGCTGAAACCACATGGAGAAACTATTGTGTCCTAATTGTAGTCATTATTCATTTCCCAATACCACCTCTCCCTCAAAACATGCACTATCTCCCATTTAGAACAACTTAATAGATGCCAATATGTCACCTTCAGATTACTAGTCCATATATATATATA